ATCACAGTCAAGGAAGCTGTTAATCAAATAGTCTTTGAACACTGATAACAAGTATCAAACAGACTTCACCAAGAAGGCCATGGTGATGGGTATAGGAACCACTGCGATGGAGTCTTGTGATAGGGTAGAGAAGAACTGGATTCAACTCAGACTGCAACAAGAGCAAGTGCAAATTAATAACTGTGGGCAGAGTGGGAAATTCCTAAGCAAATGGGTGATTCCTAAGAGGTAACTTCCAGGACGAGGTGATTCTCGCTAAACTCTATGGATAATGTAAAAGAATTAGATGGGTTCTCCTCTTGGAGAGGTTGCCAATGATTGCAACCAGAAGAGTTTTAAAAATGGAAAGAGGTTTATTACTTGCACCAAGTAAGGCAAACCTGTAGTTAAGCACAAAGCAATGATCTTGCCAAACGGAGATAGCAGGACAGTTCCACCACGCGACCTCTTCGTACTCAGACAGGAAAGCCTGTGTAGGGATGGGTGTGTTCCTGAGCGTGCTCATTTTAAAACATGCATTTCTGAGAATATTCAGTCGAGGGTAATAACTCACGTGTTCACAGTGGAAGATGTTAGGTACTTTCCTTGTAAGTTTCTCAAAGAGTTTTAGCTGAAACAAAAAGGAAGAACTCTGAAGGTGTGCTGACAGTCTTCAAAGGCTAGGCAGTTCTCTCTGCCATATGTACAGGAGCTTGCCCTAAAAGTATCTGCCTCATTTAAAAAGCAATTGCCAAGACGAGACTAAGGTGATGAGATAACCCGAGTGTCAGGTACTAAGGACAGGCATTTTTCATTGCACAGATTTTTTTACCAATTTTGTTCAAATTGGGTTCAATACTGATAGAGGGGGAGAAACAAGTTCAAAGCCTAGGAATAGGAAATTTTGGCCAAAAGAGAGATTCTTGGTCAAAATAGATTCTCCCTCAAGCCTCAAGAAGTAATACAACACTGTTGACCTTTGGTTTTAGTTAAATGGAACCCACTTTGAATTTATCTCCAGAACAGTAAAATAAATTTGTGATGTTTAAAGCCATTATGTTTATGGAAAAATTTTTGGCTGCAGTAAAATAATGCATCTAATACCCATATATCACACACCAAACTCTGAAGAAATTATATAATTAAGCAAACTTTTAGATGACTTCCCTGTTCCTTATAATTATTCTTTTTGTTCTACCTAAGACATTGTTTCTTTCCACTGGTAATTAATGTATGCTGTTCAAGAAATAACTTTAAAAACCTATGTGCAATAACAGGAACTTGTTCCATTGTAACACAAAACTCTGACAGTTTAAAATCTTTTATAATCTAATAAATTAAGTGTCCTCTGACCCTCGAGGCAGTATTCTGTCTACTGCTTGTTTCCTCTTTTTTCCTTCTCCTCTTTGTTTTCCTAGACCAAAGAGCATAGTGGTTGAGAGTGCATCTGAATCAATAAAATACTTGACCAATTGAATTATTCAGCCTACTTCTTGGATTGGATACTACAATGCAACTGAAGAAAGTTTCAAATAGTTTGGTAAATATCTGTCTCGATAAAGTTTATTTCAGATGCAAAAGCTCATTCTGGGAAGTTAGAAGCATGAGGCTTGTATGAGATGGTAGAATTGGAACAGCAAAGGTAACACTAGATCTAGAGTCAAGGAACCAACAGAGCACTGTTCTCTCTTCCACATGGTGCATTTCAGTCCTGAGTTCAGGTACTTAATCCAGGGATAAGGCATAAGCTTGTCACTTTCATCCACTCAGAATTCTATGCTCTTATATGCACTCATTTTCACTGAAAACACTTAAAGAAATTTAGTCTTCAAACATATGAGGGCTCATGAAAATCTCATTTCCTACTGAGACATTTACATAAAGTTCATTGGCTAAACTACAAAGAAGTGATTTAGTTGGAAATATGTGGAGAAAGTTAGTAGTGTAGATCGGAATCCATCAAGTAGAAAAAAGGAAAGTCTCTTTTGCAAAAAACTTTTTTCTTCATTATGATCTGTGATAATACCCTGTGATAGAGAATTGGAAAACACCCTTAGTTGTTAAAACACCAGTATTAAAAATCCATCTACCTCAGGTCCTTGTTGATTTGAAATTCTATGCAAGCCAGCAAGAAACATGATCAAGGTTCTGAAAGTTAAACTGACACCTTGGCATGGATATTGTTTAAATGATTCTCAGTTTCACTCTTCTAGCAAAGAAAGCACCCCTCATTTTTTGAGTTGATTTTCTTTCTCTCTGCCTATGTAAAAGCATTGAAATAGGAGATATAAATCAAACCTTCTGGCTGTCTCTAAGACACAAGCCAGGAGACAGTTTCCTGAGTAATGAACTCAGGGAGTATGTGAGTTTAAATTTAGGAGAACAAATTGACACACAAATGTATGTTCAGAGATGATTTATATTGTGTCTGTATGACAGCTCCGCAACACTTCACAAGATTAAAATGGGGAAATAAAAAAATTGAAGCAGAAAGTAAAATGACCACTGTCAGGTTCAAGGATTAACTCCAAGGAGACTGAAACTGCTGACCAAATTAACATTTTCTTAGTCTCTTATACTGACATTATGCTTCCTATTTGCTGGCTGATTTGAAGTAGCTTTACACATATAAATAAAAATAGATAGAGATATACATATAGATTTTTTTCTGTAACACTTGAGATAAAATCCAGGGCCTGCCCAGGGTGAGGCGAACACATAGCATCAAGCTCTCCCCCCACACTTAATGTCATTTTCAAATATGTCAATCCTGAAACATGCATTTCTTTGGGAAACAAATGAAACGGCAAAGGTAATGCCAGCTGCTGTAACAAGAGCACAGCTATAAGAAACAAAGCAACGGAGTTCTATTTTCTGGTCCAAAGTCAAAAAGTTCTGTTTCTTATTCAGGAAACATGTGGAGATGCGTGTTCCAGGTCAGTAGACAGCTGTCCTTCGTGAAGGAATCAGACCACCAAGTCCCTGTGTTTACGGCTCTGTTAGCCTCAGCGCTCCTGAGACTATCACAATTTTGTGCATCCAAGTGGCAAAGGGGAGGAGGTTGAAGGCTTCGTATGAGTTTCGTTCCTGAAAACGATCTGTGTCACTTAACATCACACATTGTTGGTTTAATATGTGTCATATGAGCACTTGAAACTGCAAAGAAGCCAGACAAACACAGCCCTCACACCGGTCCAAGAAGAAAAGCAAGTAGATGGCCAGCTGCCTAGAACGTGGCTGCAGAGACGCTCACCCAGCCAGCCAAGGAAGGGCTGTGCGGCGTCCTCCTCAGTCCCTGCCTGGACTGTATCTACAATGGACTGCAGTGTTGACCAGCTCCAAATCATGGATGTAATCATGCAATTAATTCATTCCAAAATTTCCTTTGGAAAAAAAAAAGAATTCTGAAAAAATGAAATTAGTCTTTGAAGACAATACAACTTACTGATAAAATCTAAAGTTTTCAAAGTTTTAATTTACAGTTTAATATTCTTTCAACCACAATTCATAAACTAGTATTTGATTTTCATCGCAAGCTCTTTCTTGTATTTATTAAAGTTAAAAATTAATAACCACTAGAAGTTTGGGGAAATGATAAAAAGTTAAGAATTTTGTCTATTAAGAATACATTATATTACATTATTTTGATATATTTGATGCTACAGTATATGAAGTTATACTCAAAGATTTCAAGGAAAGAGACAATATGGTAACTACTTTTATGTCAGGATTGTCTTGTGGTGAAACACTACTTTGCTTAAATGGTTATGTTTTGATCTGCGCTGTTTTGCTGTTATGCCCTCTTTTATCTCAATCTCCATTTTATTATTTACTTTTTTATTTTTATCCTTTTAATTAAGGGAAAAATAAATTTAAAAATAGCAGGATATATTATAGTAACCCACTTTGACTTTCCATTATCTTGATTTAAAGCCCTTTATTGCTCTCACCATCTTGTTTTGACTGATGTTCCTCTATTCTGTTTTGCTTGATGGTACCAGGTTCGAAAGTTTAGGCAACAGCTGTGAAGATAGTGGGATTCATTATGATGCCCATTCTGGTTGACTATTATCTACTTTTGAAGACCTATAATGTCTCCGATGTTTTGGTTTTTTTGGTTTTGTTCTTTACTGTTTTGTTCAATTTTATTATAACTGATGATATAGGCAATTCTATTAGAGATAACGGGAGGCATTATGGTAACCATCGTTGATCACCTTGTATTATGCTTTTACATTATCTATTATGTCCATCCTTTTGATTTGACTGGCTCTGTTCTGTTATGTCACATTTGGTTCTACTCTCTTCCAAAAAAGTAATAAGAACTGTGGGACCAACAAAACCCAAAATGGGTAATTGTCATTGTACAAAAGAGAGGAAAAGAAAGTGCTCTAAACGATATAACTACATGTATATTTAAGTGTATAAGATAGATAATGATATTACTGAGTTTTGTTGGATCGTTGAATAGAACTGTTTGCAATCTCACTGTTGGAATGTTCACTTTATAAGCTTTAATTTTGTAACTTGAACAATTATTTCTAAGATGACAATATGTAATCCATTAACTAGTGATTTCCTACTGTTAATTTTTTTCTGTAATCTGTATAACTTGTACCCTTTCTCTGCTTTTTTTTCTTTTTCTCCTTAAATAAAATTTTTTAAAAAAGAATACATTATAGGAAATAAGTAAGGTGGTCAATAATTTAAAATCAGACAGCTTCAACTTTGTAATGAAGACTACTTTTAAATGTAATCTCACTCTTAGCTGACTCACACTTCCTATACTTGACTAAATGTAGCAATAACGTTTATAAATACATAAGAATCTAAGTACTTTCCTTTTTTTGTAAACTGTAATATGATCTTTTCATTCTGTACAACCAGTGATTTCAAGTACCAAATGAAATTAATGACTACTTATTTTCAGCAGGAAGTGTTCAATACCAATTATGTTAAAGAAACATTGTCATTTTCTTGGCAGACTCTTTTTCATATGGACACAAAGAACATTACTTCTATCGCCAGGTTAAATCATTTAGCAAGCTTAATTGAACTCGATAGCTAACATCCTATTAGATTCACCATGATTTAGTGGTATTTGTTTATTGACTCACAAATATTTATTGAGACTCAAGTGTTAGAAAATACACTAAATACAAAGCTTATATCTAAAGGACTTGCACTCTTATTGAAATGTTTTCCAGTATTTATTTGCTTTGCTTATTTGATATTAGCTTGGGATTAATAATTCCTAATTAATTCAAAGCCAGTGAATGCTTTGACGTTTAATGGTGCAGAGTTATGATATTTCAGGGAATTCTGTTGAGAAATTTAAATATGAAGGTATTTGTCCACTGGGTAAAAAGTAAGACTCAGTCTCTGTGGAAAACACAAATAAGGAGGTATACATAAAATGCAAATACTACCAAGATTTTACCAAAAATTATTTAATATATTCTTACATTTGGCTCTATCAAAAATGCCATCAACAGAATCTCTTATTTTTGCTTTGTGTCCTGACTGAAACATAAGAAGCTTGGTCAAAATTTCAGTTTAAGAATCCTATGTAGCAGTTGTTTTGTTTTGTTTTGTTTTGTTTTTTGTTTTGTTTCTGTTCCAAGGACTGGTTAGTGATTTGAATTTAAGGTGAAATTAGAGATCTGCTTTTCTTTCTTGGCTGCGCCTAATCAGCTATCATTTGTTTATCTAAAAGGAAACATCAACTCCCCAATTTGCTCTCTAAAATTGTTTGTTGTAGTTCCCCACTGGACTGGAAGGCACCATCTGCTTTCATGGCAGTGATGGTGAAGGGGGAGAGGCTGGGAAATGTACTCCGGAGAGCTCTGAACGAGGTCCTGCCTGGAGAAGCGTGGAGTAGTCAGTGCACGACTGTGGGTTAAACGCAGGTCAAACCAGGTAGAGTGTCAGTGAACAGACTCACATGTGCGAGCCAAGGAACTCTTAGAGAACAGGTATATTCAGGAGAAAACACCAAAGAGTAATCTGAATCGCAGGCAGCAGAACTACAGGCACACAGAAGGCCAGCAGCCACAGCGAAAGGAGCGTGACGTTCAGGGCGAAGGAAAGTGGTTTCTGTCTCTCTGTCTCTTTTGACACTTGCTTGTTTTATTTGGCTTTTGATTTTTACTGGAAGGTGAGAAATTCTTGTCACCCAGCTCAAATCATGCTATGTTAACCTATGTCTCTCAGAGCTTTTGATGATAGTATGTTTCCCCCACTCACACACATCTCAAAACAAAAGTTTCATTTCTCAGCATGAAAATTCTGTGCACCACTTTCAGGTTAGTGGTTAGAATGATTTGTGCTCAACTAGAATTGCTATTTAGTAAGTAAGACTACCATGCACAAAAGCACACGGATACACACAGTCACATAAATACAGAGATGCAAAAACACAAAATACACTCATATGTGTGCACACAAATACACACAAAACATACACACATATAGATACATGCATTCAAACACACACACACACACTCTTGGACAAATACAGACACCCACGCATTTGGGCAGCTCCAGTTTCCAAGACAAAAGTGTTCCCTGCTGCTGTCACAGCACCAGCTTTTCCAATTAGGCCTTTCTTCCCAATGTCTGAAATACGAGAGGCAAACACAGGAGTACTTTCTGCAGGGGACCTCAGAAGACATTTTGCCATATCTGACCATATCTGCCCTGAACATTGGCGCTGATACTTTAATAGGCTTCTAAAAATGTCCAGAAGTGACTTTAAAAAATTTAATCAAGTATAACAAGATGAGTTTGGAACAAATGGGTGTGTCCCTGAAAAACATGAACAGGACTCTGTTACTGGCTTTGAGCTTTTAAACATTGTATTAAACACTCTGTTGTAGCAACAGCTTTTCTGTTTTCCTCTGCTGCTTAACAAGAAGATGACTCATCCCAGAGACCAAGATACCATGGTACAATTACAACATTCAAAGCCGCATGTGTGTAAGGGCTCAGAGCTCTTCTCAAATGGGATCTTGCATCTCTAAGCTAAATAGGAGTTCACGGATTCCTAAAAATACCCACTGACATGAGTCATCCTCTTCCAAAGAGCTCTGGAAAATGTTTTCCACAGAAGTGGGAAGGCTCTGCCCATGGGGTGCAGGGCTCTCTTCTGAGTCATGTGAGTGACTTGCGTCAGCTGCATGCTATGCTATATCCTCTGTATTCCTTGGCGCTGAGCTTGCGTGGCTAGAATGCTTTGCCGAAACACAAACCTCTGTAGCAGTTTCAACTCTGCCTTCACACACCACTTCCTGAAACAAAATGAAGCCCTGCCAAAGGAGAGGCACTTCGGGGCACACTGAGTACAGGTCCCTCCAGAGGTGCTTTGTCCTGTGTGTGAGAGGGGGGAAACCCAAGGGCAGAAGTTAGTCCATTCTCAGACACAGTCTGCTCAGTCCATTCTCAGACTCTAGCACTGCAAGGGAAAGGGCAGGCAGTGGAGCAGACAGGAGGGAAGGATACTGGTACCCAAGCCACCCTGGATGAAACTGCAGCTGGGTAAATGAAGAGAGAGGGTGCTGTGTCTGCCGTCCCTCCAGGTGCACGTTCAGATCCTGCGGTGCGCAGAGCCTTCCTTTGACCCTGCTGCTGAGCTCCCATCTCCCCCAGTGTTGGCTTAGCTGAGGCTTAGGGGCTCTACCATCTCCACGATGTTTTTACTGTCATTAGCAGACCTTGGAGGTAGGAGAAGTCACAAACAACTTTGCAACACTGGGACTGTAGGGATGTAGTGCATCTAGGTGAGGAGCATCTTCCAACGCTGCAGAAGTTCTAGACATAGGTGATGGCTGCACACAGAATCCACACAGACACGCTCTACGGATGCCTGCGTTTCTCATTCAAACTATAAAACATGCAAATCACACAGAAGGGAAGCTCACAAGTGAGCCCGTCCTGCTCAGCAGCTTGAACACTGAGTCAGTCACTTGTTTACTTGAAAAGGTATATTTAAAGGCACCTGGTTTCACTGATTCCTAACAGAAAAGTTAGAACCTCTGGCTCATATCAAACAATAAGCTCTACGATCTTGCTTTTCTGTGAAAAATTCAGTATTTTCCTGTCTGCAAATGTCAAATTAGCATTTCTTATTCTCATTGAGATAGTTTAATATTCTGTAGTTTTTGACCCAAGTTAAAAATGTGTTCTTTTTAGGTAAGCTGAAAGCATTCGTGGTCAAAATGACTTTAAAAATCAACCCACTGATCTTTAAATAAAATTCACGTAACAATTCACCATTTTAATTATTTAAAGGGACTATTCCGGAGGACTTAAAAACATTTGTAGCACTGCACAGTAAAGTCACTACTCCCTCCAACGCCTTCATCCCAGAAGAAGGTCCCCAGCACTCAGACAGCAGTATCCGCCTTGCGTTCCTCGCAGATTCTGACAGCTTTCGTGTATTTGCCTGCTGTGTCCATTTAATATAAACACAAGCACAGCATGTGATGCAGCTACTCTTGTCTTCTTTAACTTAGCACCATGTTCACTATGTTTATCCATGATGTAGCAAGCATCAGAGCTTTGCTCCATGTTACTGCCAAATACACCATTGTATAATAGAACACATTTGGATTATTCATTGTAATTATCATGTTAATTGTCACATTGATGATACAAAGAGACTTCTGAAGAGATGATTAGATTGAAGGTGCTGTACTTATCAGCTCACTGATCCACTTATATTCACAAATGAATGTGCTGCTCACAGGAGAGCTCCAGCTGGGTGTGCATAGCTAGCAAGAGACCAGGGAAAATGTAGTTTTCCTGGGCCCCTTCCCTGTGCTCTGGCTTCAGGCCGCTGTGCAGTGAGTACCTTTGCTTCTCCACACCCTTCCGCCTTGGTATTCCCGCCTTGGAGCAGTGAGCAATGAACTGAGATGCTGATGTCTGAAACTTCAAAGGTTAGGGCTAGGAATCCTCCTCCAGCTCATGAATGTTAGGTATTTTGTCTGAGTGATAGGAAAGTTGACTAAATCATTCATGTCTTAGTGAGCATTTGGGTTGTTTTTACCTTTTCAGTACTTTGATTATTTCCACACAACTTCCTGCTTAAATGTTTCCTTTCCCATTTTTAGTTGTTACATGTAAGAGTTGAGTTGTGAAGCCATCCAACAATTCTCTGCTTAACTTTTATGTTTGCCATAGCAAAGCCATCAATTTGCATCCCGGCAATATGTGAACTTCAAGTTCTCCACAATTTCAGCATTACTCATTACATTTGATTTTTTAAAAATATTATAGCTGTTCTAGTAGATATTGGTTGCTTTCTTACTGTGGTGACATGCTATTAAGATGCAATTTGAAATAGTACCAAAATCACTGTGCTATTGACAGAATAGTTAGGTAGCCAGGAACGTCATCATTTTCTTTTTTCTTTCATGTCATAAGAATCTTTTGACCTGTTTTAACAAAATGAGCCCACCAGGGATTGCCCTGGGTGTGACTGACAGCCGTCAGCATGCCCATAGCATGAATGGATAAAAGGGAAACCAAAGGAAGACTCCCTTCTGTCTCTTCAGAGGAGCTCCAGACCTGACCATCACCTTGGGCTTTGTCTCTGGTCTTTCAGCACAGACTATTCAGTCTCCCATTTCAGATCTTTTGTCCTCCTTTGCACTGTGAGCTCTGGGCCTTCCACCTCTGATGACTCTAATGAGCTGGAGCCTGTGGGCAGCCTTTCTGCAGTCCTCCACAGCCCTTCTGCAGACCTTCAGGAGCCCACTGCAAGCCATCTTGCAAAGCCTCACCTGTATGTCTGTCTTTCAGTCTGTTTCTTTGGTGAGTGCTGACTGACACACCCTGTTCACTCCAATTTCCCACATTTTCTATGACTAAAGTTTCTTGCTGAGGTCTTCGTGCTGTTCAGATTTCCAAGCTATTCTCTTATTTTGAGCCCTGTTCAGTAGCTTTCCTGGGCTCAGCTCCCTTGACCCTGTAACCTCTCAAGACTCACCCTTTCCTGAGTCCTTTCCAGTCCCCTCTC